CGAAATACATTAATGTCAGTTGTGTGCTCATGTTTTTTACAAAAATCTCTTTAACCATATTCATGTAAGTGGTGTACCATAAGTAATTAAATGACCAGTTCTCACTCGTGAATTCAGCAGTTAAGAGAGTTCTTTCATTTAAAAGGTACAGTGCTATCTATACTGCCTGTTAAGAGTGCAGCCTTCATTCATAGGTACAAACATAACTGACATCTTAAGATAATCCATTTCAACCTTAGTGTGTAAACAAAATCAGGACATACCTAGATTTTCAAACATCTTCTGAATTGGAGTCTCATTGGCATCCACCATCACTCGTTTTTCATCCAGCATTAAGACGTTCATGGAGAGCCATTTCGAAGACATCCATAATGGGTGGTCTAAAAGCATTAAAATGGTTCTCTCAATACTGCAGTTATACATTTTGTATCATTTTTGCCTTACACTCTGAAAACCAACGTGTCTTTAAAAAGCAGCAGCAGCATGAACTCAACATACCATCCGGGATAAGTGGCAACGGAGGGTAAATCACTGTCCAGCCTGCTTTCTTGAAGAATTCAATCTGAAAGATATTCAATTTAAACACTCAGTACTTTATCACTGCCTCCATGCTCTTTTTCATAGCACACCCTCCCTCACCCCAGTTTACCAAGCCACGACCCTCTCCTCATTCAAGTTCCTTCTACAAATCCACTTTTCATGTAAGCACAATTACGAATTCTTTCAAAGTTTCATCACTAAAGTACCAGCATTCGTTTTTGTGGATTTTGCATACTACAGATATACAGCTTGAGAGAAGAGATTTCATGTAAAAACAATTAGGCCCCACAGATTAAAATGCATTTATGAACGGTGAACAGTATTTCATTGCATATTTTTAGTAGTATTTCTTTTATGTGTTACTGCACAAAGGACTAGTTATATCAATGAGACTTCTATTTAAGGACATGGAATTTTGCAGAAGAATATACTGCTATTCTTCCTATGAATCATGCTCCACAGAAAACATGGAGCAGGAATAAATTGGTTCCTGGTGCAGTTTATTTAACAAACAGCACCAGTCTATGGGCATCCTAGGGAATAGTTTATTTTTACTACATAATATTTACTCTAACTACACAATGTCTTCCCAAAACAAATGGGACAATTTGGCTAAAGAAAACTCTTGAGATTGACGGATACTTATTAGTCCAGGACACAGAACGGTGCATGCTGGAGGGTGCTTTGGCAGGATCTCCTTGCTAAAAAGGAGCTCTGCTTCTGTACTACATGGGACTGTGTTATACCATCAATATACTCAGCAGAGTTTTCAGAAACAAAGGACAGACATTCCCAGCAAGTGTACTTACATAAACTGACCAAGCCGCACTGCCTCCTCTTGTGGTCAGCATTATGAGTGAAAAAATCCTGCTCCTTCACCTTCTAGTCTTTGTGTGCACACTCATCTCTAGTACACAGGCTTGGCGGTCTAAGTTGCAGGAGACTTCGGGGGTGGGGGGTAGGTGGGGGCCTTCAAATATTGGCAACACATCCTGGTTGTTACTGAGTTTACAGAAGCATTCTAGATTGTAACTCTTTGGGACAGGGGCAGTCTTATCTTTGTTATGTGCCTGTACAGTACCTGGCACAATGGAGTTCTGACTGCAGTCCCCAGGTACTAGCACATTACAAATACGTATGTTATTAAACTGAAGTGTGTCCTCCTTCCCTCTGTCCTTGCACTGGTTAGAAGTATTAAACCCCAATCCCATAACAAAGTATGTGCTGGGTTTCTACATTTGTTCTGGCTCTTTCCCTTCGAAGTCTCTCTCAGAGTTATTTCACAGCTGAATGGGGAAGAGGTTTCTGAGCTCTCTTCCTACTGGTACAGCTTCAGGAACAGTTGACAGACAAGAGGGCTTTTAGAATAAATACAAAGAAAAAATACTCAGCTGAAGAGCTAAGGGGTCCTTAGCTTCTCTCTCTGGACCCAGAAGATGATATAATTAACATGCAAATGCTGCAGAAGTAGAATAGCTATTTTAAATATTTGCCTTGAGATTCCATGCTGCCTAATATGCAAGAGGCCACTTTCCTGTATTTACAGTCTACCCGCATAATAAAAGGGTGACGTTACATGTATCCCACATGTCCTTTCTAAAGGGGGAGGAAGGAGCGGTGCGGGGAGTGAAAAGCTGAACTGGATCATTTTTGTTGTGCTCAGAGGTGGAGTTCCAATGATAGAGCCAATCAGAATTCAGATTTAAAGACATACTTCACAGCCACCCAATCACTCTGCAAATCCCTGCTCTCAGATTGATTGAGGGCCTCTAGCAGCTAGAGCACAAGAATTTACACGACTGAAAAAGAACCACAGTTATGAATCAGCAATTGCACAGCAGCCATTTACTCCAGGCAAGCTAACTGCAATATAGTTTTGTTTCTTTTCCTCCCCCACACTTTGTTACTGTCTTACCTGGTGGCATGGGCGATCTGGGTTGGACAGCACAAGACCAGGCCCAATGATGTTAAGCGTGGCATCAATGTGCATAGGGTTAGGATCTTTAAAGGACAAAGTATGAACTCTATATTCTGGTGCAAGATGTCTCCGCATCCACTCAATGCCTGAATTGTTGGTAACCTGGAAATGTGACCGATTGTAGATTTGGTTTTAGCTTTATAAGCTACAACATACCGAACATTTGGTCTTGCTTACTTAAAAAATGCTAATTATTTGATATAGTTATTATAAAAACAGTTTGTGCACTCACTAACAACCTATCGTGTCAGCTATGCTGCGTTCTCATCTTGCACGTCAGACATCCCGTTTATGTAGGGTAACTTTCACTGTCAACTATACTGTTTTACATTTAGAGAAATTCAGTAACTAAAATATCGAGAAATTATAGGAAGCAGACTGTCTACCTGGCTTCTCTGCACAAAAATATCTCTTCCAGCTCTAATGAAGTCAGCAGCATCAAAGCATGGTTCAAATTCAGTTGTCACGAATTTTCCCTGAGCAGCCAGTTTATGTCGGTCTTGTACGGAGTGGATGGGGTAATCCTGGTTGTAAGAGAGAAAACAAAGCATACATAACAAATTTAGACTGGTTGAATTACTAGTGGGAAAGCTTTGATGCTATAAGTATGTTGGAGTTCAGAAAATAGCTGTGTTTATATTGTTATCTGGCATGTTCCTTGAAGTTAATGTGGTTTTCTTGTTTTTGGAGTGAAAACAAAGTAAGCATGAGTGAAGCTCATTGGCATACAGGTTCAAGTAGCTGGAGTAATCAGCAGCATATCAAGTGCATTCAGGAACAGGTGGTGCTTTAAATAAAGAAATACAGTCAATTGTTGTATACAAAAAATGGACTGCCCTTGACGGTGGTTATCTCTGGACTGATATTACCAAACTTTGGCATAGGATGTGGCTCAGTTAACAAAAAGCTCTTGTGTAACTGTCAGCCTAACAAATTGTTGCATACACTGTGTGAGTAAATACCTTGCAGGCTTAAAAGTCTAACGAAGCTGCGCTTTGTGCTTTTGTCACATTTTAGAATGGAGAAGCCACAATCCCCCAGCCCCAAACACACAGTACTTTAACCTAGAAGGTAAGACCTTCCAAGATTTTTATAACACTTATAGCATCAAAGAGATATGGTACAATTAAAAACAAATGATGTGAAACTACCCAGAATGGGCATCAAAGGGCCAATGCCTTTGCTGAAAGACAGAATATACCGCAAGGAACAAAAGAAGCTGAATAAATATGCCTTAAAATATGCTGTAAGGGCTGTCTAACCCTGCTCTGGCAGGCCACTAGCACTGAGAAAGCTCCACCCCACAACCAATCGTACCTACTACAATGAGGCATAAGGTAAAAGATTTCTCTTCTGTAGTCAGCCCCAGAATATTCGGGGCTTTAGATAGCTACCAACACTGAGAGCCAGTATGTAAAACTGACTAGAAATTGGCCTTTGGTGGGGTTTAAGGTAGAAAGAGTCATTGCAGAAAACTTTGAAGGAAAGCAGCTGCATGCTACATTAGCAATTTATAAATAATCTTCGCAACATCTCTGCAAGGTAGGGGTCATGTTGTCCTCTTTTTACAGATGAGCAAATCATATAACCATTTGACCTCTATTCCTCAAGACTACAGGAAGAAAGTCAGAATTGGAAGATGAGGCCACTCAAAATACTTCAAGTTCATTTAAAAAAATAAAGACAGCTGTAGCAACATGCCTTCAATGGTCTTTTCTTAATGATTTATAGAGTTATAGCCATTAACCAAATCTGCTAATATGGACACTTTCCACTGACTTCTGCTGTATTGTAACTGCAGTAAAGGAGGGCTTAATTACATCCTAAATTAAGGCAGAATTCCTTGAGTGTGAGATTTAAATCATTACATAAAACTCAAAAAGCAAATTATTTCAAAAGTACCAACCAATTTCTTCAGCAAAGAATATTTCGATAAGCTTTTTAATTTCGAACATCTTTTACCTTAATGAACAGAGAAGGGGCCAACAAGTCTTCAGTAAGAGAAAATACAACGGATTATTTTAGGTGGTAAGTGTTAAGGACAAGGCCTGATTCTTTACTCATATCATGCCATATTGTTGTGATTTTAATCAGGTCTGCAGATTTTAGAAGTCTAGATTACTTTTCACCACTTATGCTATTTTTTACATTTCTCTCCCTTTGGATAATAAAAATACACTGGTTCATTTATTTAGCTATAACCACTGTCAGTTTCACCTCTAGTTCTCACTTAGGGCAGCTCTTGCTACAGAGTTTGGTCTAGGAATACTGCATGAGAACATTTAAGCCCCATTTAAGCCTCACCAAACCTCCCCACACACACAACCCAAACCAACAACACTGATTTCTTTTTATTTTCAACATTAAAAGAAATATGTTAATAGTTTTGTAAAGTTTCCCAAACCTAAACTGGAGGCTGAAACTAGCCAACAGAAAATTCTGTGAAAACATCCCCTGACGTTATGAAGACAAGGTGAGAGTGATACCTGGTCATAGAGTTCATCAGCCATTGTGGGTTTGGGTGCAGTTGTCCACTTGGCACCCCGGTGGAAGTAGTCTTTGATGACTGGCCTGTATGCTCTGTATTCGAAGAAACGAGCACGCCAAGCCATTGGTGCTTCGATAATTTCATTTCCAACTACCAACAAGATGTCTCTTGGCATGGCAGCATACATACCTACAAGAAAAAAAAACAACACACATTAGAACTGATTAGGCTATTTGGACAGTTATTCCAGCCTAGGGATGCATGCCTAATATTAAGACAAGCACTGCACTCTTGAATGAATTCACACAGGAAAATGATAAAAGACTGTGGATGAACACTTTTCACAAAGCGACCACTCTATGTCTGACTTATCAGTCCTCACACTCAAAGGAAACCGGCACAACACTTTCAAAAGACAAGCCTGGAGCTTAAATTCATAACTTTGCTGGACATTAAAATCATGGACTGAACAGAGACAATGGATTTATGGTTTATTACAACAATCTGCAACCCACCAACCCCCTCTTTTTGTCCTATGACCGCAAAGGTGTTAATGGGCCACTCTACCTTGAGTGATCCCTTAGAATACGTGCTAACT